TTCTTATTTATTTATGATTATTACTTTGTCAAAATCATATATATCTGTGTGTGTGTGTGTGTGTGTGTGTGTGTGTGTTCTCCACACCAGCTGTATGTCACATGGAGGACAGGAATGGAGAGAACATTTTCTCCTCCTCTTACAATCTTACTGATCTGCAGTAGGATCAGAAAGGATGGAGGGGAGGGGACCTCTTTGCCAAATGCTTAATTAAGTTTGTCGGTGCTTTTCTTATCCATGCTGACCAAATGGGACAAGCAGGTAGGCAAATGGATGTGTAGACACAGGTTATAGGGGAAAAGACAGACGTATGTGGGTGTATGTATATAATCTGTACAGGCAGCACTGCAAGAAATTCTACTGCCAAATTTCAACCTGGCATCGATTTAGAATGCTCCCCTCTGTCATCTAGAGTTGCCCTTTATGAAATCAACAAAGAAAAGTAAAGGGCAAGTGATTAAATTAATATGCAAAGCGCAGAGGGCAACATTCAGCTGGCATACTTAGGAAAAAATGGAGTTGACTCATGTTTGAACTGTAGAAAATTGCAGTCTTGCATAGATGTCCAAACACCCTCAGGTTGAAGCTAAAATGGCAAGGGAAAACATAAAAGAAATCCATTCTGAACATCGACAAATTGCAGATTTTTTTTATATACTTGAAAATTACTTTCTGGCAGACTAGAGTGTAATAAAATTATGCTGATGCTAAATTGGTCCAAATAATGACTGGAACATAAAAATCTATCTTCATCTATAATTTATCTATAATTTATATTTATATTGCCAATTGCCTATCAATGCTAGTTAATATAGTGCTGTCAAGAGTCTCAATGGGACTACTTTAAAGCTCGAATTCTTTTGATTTGATGTTAATACCCGGCAAAGGAATGACAGTTAACAAAGTACTGCATGAGAGAGAACGTGACAATGAATATTACATGGAGATACAGGAAGAGATACTCTTTCTGGTTGGAGAAATGCTTCTATAATAGTTCTTATCTAAACCTTGCAATGAATTGATGAAATACTTGTCATGATCCTGGCCTCAAGACCCATGACTCAGACAGAGAGTGGGAGGATCCAGTCAAACCTATGACACATTTATTACCTACAAAAGAGAAAAACCCAGTCTCTGGAATTCAAGAATTGCAACCAGAACATAGCTGTCAACTTACAGATTTGAAAATAAGGGACCAGCAGCCTCTAAAATAAGGGATCAGCAGCCAAAATAAGGGATTTTCCAGGCACAAGTATGTTCAACTTCTGAGCCCCTCTGAGCCAAAGGCAGAAAGCCCAGCCAGCAGCCAAATGAAGCCTCATCAATAAGGGACAGCAGCGGGACATGGCGCTGGGATAAGGGACTGTCCCACCAAATAAGGGACACTTGACAGCTATGAACCAGAATAAGAGAAGAGGCTCTTCCAGAATCCCTCAGCTGAGGGTCCAAGTCCGACGACACCAGACTTGATCCCCAGTGCCCACTCATCAGTATACAGAGTTCACCAAGGTGGAAGTTCATGAAGATATGAACCAGTGCTTGGCTCCAACCTCTGCAATGATTTCCATTTCTCAGCAAATGGGTGGCTCATGGGAGGGGAATTTAGGTCCTGGAGAGAGATATGATGCAAACTGCTTGCTACTTCCCAGTGACCTGCCATGATTCTGCAAGTCTTGTATCTGACCATCCATCTTTTCTAAACTCTGGGCCTGTGCTGGTACCCTATCTTTCAGCATGTGTGTATCTGAGTCTGAAGCAACAACATCCCTTGTTCTCTGGGATTGTGCTCACTATACAGAATTGTCTACTTTCTTGATCCTGGCTCTTCCCAGCACACCAGATCACTTGCCTCTGTGACCATTTGTGCACCCTGCTGCCTTCCAGGGAGGATTCGGAGGAGCAATGGACAGAAGAGGCAGAACAGGGGGCAGAGAGCAGTCAGGGAGAACAAGTCCCGGCAGACTGGAGGAGGGCAAATGTTGTCCCTATTTTCAAAAAGGGGAAAAGAGAGGACCCAAATAATTACCGCCCAGTCAGTCTGACATCAATACCAGGGAAGATTCTGGAGCAGATCATTAAGCAAACAGTCTGTGAGCACCTAGAAAGGAATGCTGTGATCACCAATAGTCAGCATGGATTTCTGAAAAATAAGTCATGTCAGACTAACCTGATCTCATTTTTGACAGAATTACAAGCCTGGTAGATGAAGGGAATGCAGTGGATGTAGCCTACCTTGATTTCAGCAAGGCATTTGACAAGGTGCCCCATGATATTCTTGTAAAGAAGCTGGTAAAATGCGGTCTTGACTATGCTACCACTCAGTGGATTTGTAACTGGCTGACTGACCGAACTGGCTGACTGACCGAAGGGTGCTCATCAATGGTTCCTCTTCATCCTGGAGAAGAGTGACTAGTGGGGTGCCACAGGGTTCTGTCTTGGGCCCGGTCTTATTCAACATCTTTATCAACGACTTGGATGATGGACTCAAGGGCATCCTGACCAAATTTGCAGATGACACCAAACTGGGAGGGGTGGCTAACACCCCAGAGGACAGGATCACACTTCAAAACGACCTTGAGAGATTAGAGAACTGGGCCAAAACAAACAAGATGAATTTTAACAGGGAGAAATGTAAAGTATTGCACTTGGGCAAAAAAATGAGAGGCACAAATACAAGATGGGTGACACCTGGCTTGAGAGCAGTACATGTGAAAAGGATCTAGGAGTCTTGGTTGACCACAAACTTGACATGAGCCAACAGTGTGACGCGGCAGCTAAAAAGCCAATGCAATTCTGGGCTGCATCAATAGGAGTATAGCATCTAGATCAAGGGAAGTAATAGTGCCACTGTATTCTGCTCTGGTCAGACCTCACCTGGAGTACTGTGTCCAGTTCTGGGCACCACAGTTCAAGAAGGACACTGAGAAACTGGAACGTGTCCAGAGGAGGGCAACCAAAATGGTCAAAGGCCTGGAAACGATGCCTTATGAGGAACGGCTAAGGGAGCTGGGCATGTTTAGCCTGGAGAAGAGGAGGTTAAGGGGTGATATGATAGCCATGTTCAAATATATAAAAGGATGTCACATAGAGGAGGGAGAAAGGTTGTTTTCTGCTGCTCCAGAGAAGCGGACACGGAGCAATGGATCCAAACTACAAGAAAGAAGATTCCACCTAAACATTAGGAAGAACTTCCTGACAGTAAGAGCTGTTCGACAGTGGAATTTGCTGCCAAGGAGTGTGGTGGAGTCTCCTTCTTTGGAGGTCTTTAAGCAGAGGCTTGACAACCATATGTCAGGAGTGCTCTGATGGTGTTTCCTGCTTGGCAGGGGGTTGGACTCAATGGCCCTTGTGGTCTCTTCCAACTCTATGATTCTATGATTCTATGATTCTAAGGGCTCAGGGATGCTGAAGAGCCCTGCAACCACCCAGAGGCACGGGAAGGAAGCTCAGACTCAGGAAGGAAGGGAGCTTTCAAATCAGCACAGACAAGAAGGGAAATGAAACGTAAGGATCAAAGAAATCTCACGCGATTCCCAAGCCTACTTTTTTGGTGCGGAAATCGTAGGAAGCCACTCCCCAAATCTGACTCAATGGGTTCAGACATGTAATTCTGAACTGCAGCTGTTCTTGAGATGAAGTGACAAAAGAAGACTGCAAATTATTCTTGTATGCCACGACTGCCGCAAGGATTCTTGTGGCCCAAAAGTGGAAATCCCAAGAGTTACCAACCTTAATGGAGTGGCAGATGAAATTATTTGAGTATACTGAACTGGCAAAAATGAGTTATAAAATTTGAGACCAAAAAGTGACAAAGTTTGAGGAGGAGTGGAGCAAATTTGTTGTGTATATACTAAATAACTGTAGAAGGTTAAAAACTGTAGCAGGGCTAACATAAATCTTGTGATGTATATAGAATGTAATTAAGAATCTGCAGGAATGGATGCAAATTGGGGAAACCGAAGCAGGGAAGGAGGGAAGTTCGGGCGCGAAATTGCGCAGGGTAAATAAGAAGATAAAAAAGGTTGAATATTAAAGTTTAAGTTTTATTTAATTTTGTTTTGTTTTTGAAAATCAATAAAAAAGTAATTTTAAAAAAAATGAACTGTAGCTGTTCTTGTATATTGTGATGAAGACTGTAAATATCATGGTGCTTGTGCAGGAGTGTTACTGTGAAGGGGAAACACTACCTTTACACTGCCTCAAAATGAAACAAAATTGTGGTCTCTTAAAAGTGTCTACATAAATGAAAAATGAGAGTATTATGGCGGCCATTATCTGGGGGGGGGGAGGGAATGAATGGATCTCTCCACACCAGGACTGAGATTTTTAGAGAGACACGGTAGCATAGTGGCTAGGAAATCGAGCTATTGATCCAGCAGTCCATAGACTGAATCTCATCCGTGTCATGAAAGCCAAGTAGACATGATGAGAATCATAGAATTGTAGAGTTGGAAAGGACCACAAGGGTCATCTAGGTAAAGGGACCCCTGACCATTAGGTCCAGTCGTGCCCGACTCTGGGGTTGCGGCACTCATCTTGCTTTATTGGCCGAGGGAGCAGACGTACAGCTTCCGGGTCACGTGGCCAGCATGACTAAGCCTCTTCTGGCAAACTAGAGCAACGCACGGAAACGCCATTTACCTTCCCACCAGAGCGGTACCTATTTATCTACTTGCACTTTGACGTGCTTTCAAACTGCAAGGTTGGCAGGAGCAGGGACCAAGCAACGGGAGCTCACCCTGTCACGGGGATTCGAACCACCACCTTCTGATCAGCAAGTCCTAGGCTCTGTGGTTTAACCCACAGCGCCATCCGCATCCCAAGGGTCATCTAGTCCTGTGCTATTTTTCTAGAAAAAGAGTTGCTGGAACTCACCATGAACACCTCCATTGTTCTCTTAGAATGGCAATGGCGCCCACCTGAGAGGTGACAGAACTGAGTTCTGGCACGTTCCTGCTGAGAAGAAGCCCTGATCTTGTCTAACAATACAGGAATCTTTTTGCCCAACGTGGGGCTCAAACCCACAACCCTGAGATTAAGAGTCCCATGCTGTATCACCTGAGCTATCCCAGGGATATTAGGAGATCCCTAATTTGATGTTCTACCATGTTTTTTTTTCCCAGAGCACCCACAGGGAGAGAAAAGATTTGAATAAGAGGTGTGTATTGCTCCTCCTATACCACCCATCCAACTTTGTATCAAGTTTGGGATTCCACCCCCCACATTTTTTCCTTTTACGAAAATAAACAATACGGGATATGACAGTGTGTGGGATCTAGAGAGTGGGGAAGGGTTTTCAGACTAAAGCAAGGAGAAAAAAGTATCATTTTGTGACGTTTGTACAGAGCCCCCAGTCGTTTCACGGACTATTGACCTGTATACCACTGCTTTGCCGCCAACCAGGTTTCTTCTAGTGAAATACTGAGTCTCAGTCAGGTTGTAAAGTCAACAACGAAGATTAAAGTTTATTGGACAAACAAGTTTTAAATATGTTCAGAACGGTTTCTCAAACACACGCCCTTAACTAGATGTGGCACTATCTCACACTGTCACACTCTTGTCTCTCAGTTCTATCCCTGCCTCTCACTCTAACTGTCACAACCACTATGTTCAATTTTTTCTGCCTCTGTCTGACCCTCACTCCTCTATCTCCCCATGGTAAACTCCTGGGCTGAGCCTCAAAACCAAGTAGGCTCCTCCTCAGAGCTTTCTCATTGGTCAATCTACATTAACCATTTTCATCCCCCCTGTACAAACATAATCACAAGGAATGGGCAAACGCCACACATGGACTAAATAGCTGGCTGCTGGACATAAGTTTCAAGAAAAGCAGAACAAATGCCCCTGCATGTTGCTATAGGCTGTGGGCGTGTGAAAGACAGATAGCTGTACTGTTCCTGTATTCTCCCCACTCCTATATAGTTAATAGCAGCTTTGGAGAGGGGGTTTGATTTAAGTTGGAAAACTATGTTATGAAATATCGGTACCTACAAATCCTAATAAGAAAGCTTCTGGGGTTTTTTTTAAAAATAAAAGTTATTTTAAACATTTTTTTTCCAATTCATTATATATCATTTCCCAGAATGTTTTTATTACTTCACACGACCACCACGTATGATAAAAGGTACCCTCTTTTTCTTTACATTTCCAGCTGGTATTTGTATTTGTCTTATACATTTTTGCTAACTTACTAGGAGTCAAATACCACTGGTACGTCATTCCAAAGGAGCAGAAAAGACTCTTTATGTATGCGACAACAGCCGCTCGGATGCTAGTAGCCCAGAGATGGAAAGAAGAAAAAGTCCCTACCAGAGAGGAATGGCAGACCAAGCTGACGGACTACGCCAAAATGGCAAAACTGACCAGAAAACTCAGGAACCAAGAGGACAAAAGCTTTAAGAAAGAATGGGGGGGGGGGATAATTCATTTAGGATACCACTGTAAGCAGATGAAAACATTAGCAGGATTTTAATAACACTTGTAATGTAATAATCACTATGGATAATATGGACAGATATAAAATGGATTATGAAATAATATGCAGTTGAAAATGTTGACAATAAGACCCATGGAGGGTCTTATTGGTGGGAAGTCTGGAGATTCAGAAAAATCTCTAAATGTGGATATTTGCTTGGTACTGTTATAACTCTACGCTTGTAAAATCAAAGAAAATTTTATTAATATTATTATTATTGTTGTTGTTGTTATTATTATTATTATTATTTTAAAAAGGGAAACTATGTTATGAAAAGCACTGATGCCAGCTCCAGCCAACTGCCCAGCCTCTGCCCCCACAGTCTGGGGCCCAAGGGAGGGAGGGGGAGGGAGGGAGGAAAAATGGGGGGAAATAAGGATGATATGTTTCTGGATAATATGTTTTGTTTTAATTTTGAAGAAAAAGTTATTTAAAAAAACAAGAATTAAGATGATTTACTAAGTAAACATCTAATTCAAGCAGCATTTCTATAAGTGATGAGAAAACAAATGAACTCGATATAGCTAATAAAAGCTAACATGGATCACAAACTCTCCCTGACAGACATTCAGAGTCATTGAGTTGCATTGTGGAATAATCCTCCATGCTCCTGTACAGAGAAACAGAGTGCTAATTAACATTGTGAACCTGCCGTGCATTTTCCCCCCTGTTGTCAATGTGTTGTGCTGAAAAGGGCAATGAGTAATGTAGCAAGACTGCCGTACAGAAAAATAGATTATTACTGAGATGGATGGTAATGCTTATCATCAGCATCATCCGAGTTGAGGAAAGCCTCAGGTAAAGGCCAGATATAATGGGACCCCGTCTTTCAGCTATCTGGGCAGACAAAATGCCGATTGACTTTGAGCACAAATATAAGGCCTTTTTTTTTTGGAAATGTATTTTTTAAGATGCTGATGGGATTTTAAGAGTTCCACGTGTTTCTGAAGACATATGGAAATGGGATAAATTACTAAGAGAGCAAAAGGGATAATAATTACTGTGATGGGATAATTACTGTGAGAAGCAGCCCAGTGTGTTGCAAGACTACAGCTTCCATAATTGCAGACCGCTGGGCATGCTGGCTAGGCTGATGGGGTTGGAGGTGATTTTCCACCTATAACCTTGAGAATGCTGGACTTACAAGTGGATTTTACAATGGTACCTCGCAAGACGAATGCCTCGCAAGATGAAAAACGCGCAAGACGAAAGAGTTTTTCATTTTTTGAGTTGCTTCGCAAGACGAATTTCCCTATGGGCTTGCTTCGCAAGACGAAAAATGAAAACGTCTTGCAAGTTTGTTTCCTTTTTCTTAAAACCGTTAATACCCTATGGGAAACCGTGCTTCGCAAGACGAAAAATTCGCAAGATGAAAAAACTCGCAGAACGAATTATTATTATTATTATTTTTAAATAAATTTTTATTGGTTTTCCATACAGTTATACATTTTTATCCAAATTTCAACAAATTGTCTCTTTTTGGACTTCCTTCAGCGTCTCTGAGAATCATCCATATTTTATCTTTAATTACACATTCCCTTCTTTCGTATTGCCATTAAACTTCCCTTCCCCCACTATTTCATATTAACAATACTTCTCGATTTTTACAGTGCCTCTTGAAATCCCACTAACATTGTGTTCACATCACATACATTTTTCAGATAATCTACAAACTTTCCCCAGTCTTCGATGAACATATGGTCTTTGGTATATCTAATTTTCCCAGTTAATTTGTCCAGTTCTGCGTAATCTGTCAATTTCAGTCTCCATTCCTCTATCGTCGGTATTTCCTCTTGTTTCCATTTCTGGGCCAACAATATTCTGGCTGCCGTTACTGCATATTGAAAGAGTTTACAGTCTTTTCTTCTTATTTCTTTTCCTAAGATCCCTCGCAGAACGAATTAATTTCGTCTTGCGAGGCACCACTGTAATTCCATTCAGTTGTGAAACAAACTATGCACCCTTTGGCCAGTCACTACCTTTTTGTGTAACCAAGTAGATAGTGTTGTTGTGATCATAATCCCCATGTATGTTGCCCCAAGGTTCATGGAAGAAGTGTTGAATAAAAATTTGATGAATAAGAAAAAGCACAAGATGGCTATTTTAGGACCCACCTTATATTTGTGATTCTAAGTTGTTTTAAATTGTTTTAAAGTTTGTATTTGATTAGTTATTACTCACTCTGGGACTTGAGGTTGGAGGGTGGGTAAATGATGATGATGATGTGATAAGACAGTATTGTTAGGTCATCTAACAATGTTAGGTTAAATAGCATGATTGTTGAGGTAAAGGTAAAGGACCCCTGACAGTTCAGTCCAGTCGTGAACGACTCTGGGGTTGCAGCGCTCATCTTGCTTTACTGGCCAAGGGAGCTGACATTTGTCCGCAGACAGTTTTTCCGGGTCATGTGGCCAGCATGACTTCTGGCAAAACCAGAGCAGCACATGGAAACACCATTTACCTTCCTGCCGGGGTGGTACCTATTTATCTACTCGCACTTTGATGTGCTTTCGAACTGCTAGGTTGGCAGGAGCAAGGACCGAGCAATGGGAGCTCACCCTGTCGCAGGGATTCAAACTGCCGACCTTCCGATCGACAAGCCCTAGGCTCAGTGGTTTAGACCACCTGGCAAATTGCTGTTGGCTTGGACCATTCTAGTAGAACCTGTAGAGGAGGAGGTCGCAGTTAATTGTGCAGCTTCTGTTTTGATCAGCATTGTAGGAACAGCATCATATGTGAAGCAAGCCTGGGCCTCTTTTGTTTGAGATCTTTGAGGAATTCCAGAACAGTTGAAACATTTAGGATATGTTAGGAGCACCTGCTACCAAAACAGGAAAGAAAATGAATATTTCTGTTCTTAGCTCACAGACTTGTGGTTTGTGCTAACCTCAGAGCAGGAAAAGTACACTCCCTTTCAGCAGGTAATGACTACAGGTGGCCTAGCCCTAGACAGCTAATGACTGTGACTGCTCAAGGTGAATCCTTCTGCTTGGGGTACAGCAATCTAACAATGAGAATATATACTGTAGGGGGGAAACAAATAAGTCAACTGAATCAATGAGAAAAGTATAAACAATTGGTATAGGTTTCTGCTGGCCCTTTCTCGGGGTACTGTTTAAAGAGAATGCCCCTTGTCCTGTCAGGCCATTATGCATACTCTTCAACAGCCCTGGGGAAAGTTGCATATTTCAACTGAATTTGTTACTTTCTTTGGCCAACATGCATGGGCTCTAAGAAATATGCCTTACACAACTTTTTCCCCTTGATCAGCCAAGCAGCAGGAAGAAGGGGGTGGGGCTTTTTTCCTGCAATCTAGCCTCCCTTTCACCCATCTCAGCTGTTCCTCTCCCATGATTCTGATGGAAATTGTTCCCATGGTGCTGCTAATAAGCTTAGAAGAAACCTTTAGAGCACCATGGGGGTCAATCATCATGGGAATCACATGAGTAAAGATTTAACCAGCTGAGGAAGTGGTTATGCAGCAGGGAAAACAGGGCTGCAAGAGAAAGTGTGTGAAGAACCACTGATCCTACCCACTGACATTTCTGCCATCACTAAAAAAGTAAAGGTAAAGGACCCCTGGATGGTTAAGTCCAGTC